CCACTCACCTCAGCCTCCCAAAGCGTGGGATTACAGGCTGAGCCACCGAGCCCGGCTCAGAAGTTGTTTTTATTTACTGTTTGGTACTGCTACTTTCCTTCCTCTAAGGCAGCTCATCCTGGATACTATTTGTTATTTTTAGTTTGATGTAATTATTTCATAACTATTTGAATGACTCTTGGCTATATCCTAAGCCAGTTTTTAAGTTGCCTATTGTATGACTCTTTGAAAACTTTGAAGTAAAAATTATAGAATGTGGAAAACCAATTTGGAGAATATTAGTTTTTGGTTTTTGTCTGTTGGTGTTTATTGAAAATGCTGATTATCACAAATCATTTAAGTTCTTCAACATAAAGAAACTTTGATGTGTATAGTCTAACATGTTTTAACACAATCCAGAAATTGGAAACCTAGTCTAGAGTATACAACTGGGACCCTAGGCTAGAGTATGCAACTGGATGTTGAGAACCTGGGTTTTCATTCTGGCTTTTCCACAAATTAGTTGTCTAACTTTGGGCAGATATTTTTAACTTCTGTTCTTTAGGTTTCTGTATAAAAGTATCATTTGGAGTAATTCATATATGTGGTCCTTTTAGCTTTAAAGTTGTCTGATTCTGTGGCTTATCCTACAAACTGACCATCCAGACTCTTGAGGCCTGTCATCAAACAAGCCCTTAACACATTTAACTCATGATTGTCAGGGAATTCAGTCATTGCACCAAAGGAGAATGGACAGGTACAGTGTTGGGATTTTTGGGGGCAATTTTATCAAAAAGTCAGTAAACTAAGTTTTGAAAGAAGGAATATTGAAGACAGATATATACTTACTTGGAATGTTTTCACAAGATATAAGGGTAGGGATGGGCATTTTGCTGAGATCTAGCTCATTCACTTTTGAGACCTAACCTAAAATAGCCATGCTGGTTTTAAAGATAGGGTATAATAAGGAACTGTATTAAGTGCTGTTGGCTGCCAAATGCAGTTCACATCCTCTGCAGTGTACTTCTCTTTGAAATTATGATGCAAACAAATAACAACAAAAGTGCCAACTCTCAAGAATATCTTAACAGGAACTTTTTGAAATAGTATTAGTTAACATCACAAAATTTGAAGACTGAGTACCGTTTTGAGTTTGTTGACAGGTTTGGCTCTTTGGTTTATAATACATATATATGTATTTCATACATATATGTATGAACATATATTTGGTTGATAATACATATATCCAGAGTTTTGTGTATTGCCATGATTTGGATAATTTTTTTGAATATGTTCAGATATATTTATAATAGGTGGTTCTACATTAGAACACAAATGCACATCTTTGAGACACCTGAGAAAGTATCCCGTCCCATCCTTCATTTTCTTTTTGTTGTAAAATGTTTCATTTGTTTTATTCCAGTATTATAAGTTGTACTCATTCCTTGTCAAGATTATACAGTTTTGACATCAGGGAGTCTGTCTTGTATCTTTGTATTCCTATCTTGCCAACCCCTCTTATTATCACCATAGCTAGCAGGTTGGTAACTTGTTTACAGTAAGTCAGTGTTCATTGTCGATCCATCTGTTTTTGACCATCTAGATCTCAACCTGACTGATTGTATGGGTAGTAGAGTAGCTTAAACAAAGGCATGCCACAAACAGCTAAATATGGATGCAGAATCCAAGAGCGTCAAATGCAGAACATTTTTCAGATATTTATAGCCTCAAAGCAAAGTCAATTGGCTGAAAAAGCTCAACAGCATAGCAAAAGGAAACGGGAGTGGCAAAGCCAGCCTCACTGTCTGTGCTGTCTGGTAAACAATGAGAACATTAAAATTAACTACTTTACCATGAATGGGTGGTGAGTGTAGGACACTTCAGGATTGCCTGCAGTGGAGCTCTGTACTCATCAGTATAGCAGGTCTGTTTTGGAGAGTTAGATGGGAAAGATAATTAGCCCAATAAAAGGGTCAACAGGAAATCTTATACTTTTACTTTTTAGTAGTATCTGCAGGACTTATGTGAAATATTCATTTAATAAAATGAATAACATCAGTATCATTACCATTAAACTCTTATGCAGCTCATTCATTTTTCATTGATTTTTAAAGGCTGGTACTATTTCAGCAAACAGATGAAAAAGGGATTAACCATTTAATTCAGGTACCATATATAATTCCAGAAATATGACAATGAGAACTTGGTAAGAATTTCTCATGAACTGTTAGGAGCTGATGGGACAGAAGTCTTACCTGGTTGTATTATATGTTACTGTTTATGCTTCACCAATGCAGACAAAGGATGAGAGATGTTTTATTGCAGTTCTAGAGAGTGTCTCTCTATATTTACTTAAAATGTTGCAACCAGTAACAATTCTAGGAAGCTGTTTCATTTTGGTTCAGTATGAATTAGAAATGACTAATCACTGGTCTGTAGAATGTTCTTAATATGATTAACTTTGAATATTCCTAGTGAATTACTCATTCTTACATGTCTTAAATATGTATCCTGTTTGGTAACAATGAGTAGATGAATGAAATTGGTCAACTAATACCAAAGTTTTATGTGCTCTAGCCAATTGATTGTTAGAAGACAGTCAGTGAACGTTTATGAAATTCATCCTCAATCATGTTCATATTAATTATATGTTTCAATTTCCTCAGGTACTGGTATTTGAACCTTTACAAATTAGTAGTAATGTTTTAGAAATTTTTGGAATCTTTTTTTTTTTTTTTTTGAGTTGGAGTCTCACTCTCGCTCAGGCTGGAGTGCAGTGGCATGCTCACAGCCACCATGCCCAGCCAATTTTTGGAATCTTGAGCTTGAGTTCAATACTTAGGATGTGGCATAGGCTTTGAATGTTGACCCATTCATTTCCCATGATTTTCAAATACATTTTACGCACATTAAGAATAGACAGTTTAGGCCAGGCGTGGTCAAACCAGTAATTCTAGCACTTTGGGAGGCCGAAGTAAGAGGATTGCCTGAGTCCATGGGTTCGAGGCTGGCCTGGGCAACATGACGAGACCTCATCTCTACAATAAATCAAAAACTTAGCCATGCTTGGTAGTGCATGCCTATAGTTCTGGCTACTCAGAAGACTGAGGTGGAAGGATCGCCTGAGCCCAGCAGGTTGACACAGGGATGGCCGTAAGCATGCCACTGCACCTCAGCTGGGGCGACGGAGTGAGACTCCAACTCAAAAAAAAAAAAAAAAAGAGAATACACAGTTCTTCACTGAAATTAGAGAGAACTTCTAAGAATGCCTAGGCATCTGCTGTCTATTTTACATTATTTTGATTTTGAATAGCTCCCTTTTTTCTAATTTTGTGAGAAAATTTGTATGTCTCATTTAAACTGTGTGTTCTATTAATATTCACAGATGATATACATTTTCCTTTCTGATAACTTAATATTTTTGTACCCTCTGTCATGTTAGTTTACTGCTATTTGATTTTCAAACAGTGAAAATAATTTTGAAGGATAGAATTATATATACATAATCTCTTTTCCAAAACCATTTGGAATAGAGTGTTTCAGAATTGAACATGTTTTGATTTTAGAAAATGAATATGGTATATGTACAATAACATAAACCCCTAGTGGAGTCTGGAGCAGCAGCCAGGAAACAGTCATGTTAATATTTCTGCAATTAAACAAATGAATATTCACACTAAGTGGTATAGACTATAAATAGCCTTATGTCAGTGCGGGTCAGATTTTACTGCCAGAGAAGTTATGAAAAAGCTTTGGTTTTCATATCTTTTTTTTTTTTTTTTAATTTTGAATTGGAATCTCACTCAGCCGCCCAGACTTGAGTGCAGTGGCCGCTCTCGGCCACCGCAGCCCTGACCTGCTGGGGGCTCCGGCGATCCTTCAGTCTCAGCCTTCCAAGTAGCTGGAACTACAGGTGTGTGCTACCACGCCTGGCTAATTTTTGATTTATTGTAGAGATGAGGTCTTGCCGAGTTGCCCAGGTGGGTCTCGAACCCACGGGCTCAGGCAATCCACTCACCTCAGCCTCCCAAAGGCGCGGGATTACAGGCTGAGCCACTGAGCCCGGCTTTCATAGCTTTTTTGATTTAGGGATTGCAGGTAATGGAATTGAGGATCTGTACACATTTTCTGACACATAATACCAAGTTCTAGAGCATCTCTGTTTATTTGAGAATAGCCTGTTTGTAGGGATTGCCTTTATCTTTTTCAGATAATAAATTCAGTGAACACATTTTAGACAGTTGTGCATAGTAGTTGTGTCATTATGTTAAATGAAATAAATTTCTGTGATTTGCTAAGGAAAAGGGATTCAACATGACAAAGAAAGAAGGCTTTACTGAGATTACTAAGGAAATGGTGGCAAGGCAGTGGTTTCTGATCCCAGTTTATTAGAAAGAAGGGTGAGGTAAGTTGAAAGAGAGGTTTTATATAATTGTTCTTTGCAGTTGCTCTCTTCACAGCACAAAGTGATTTGATCACCTTTTAAGTAGGTGAACCACAAAAAAGCGTTCAACTAATTACTGAGTTAATCCTGAAAAAATTCAGCTGTTTGCTCCTTCGTCCTTCCCTATTGGAAAACCCTTTACGTAACTAGAGAGGTGTTTGGTCTTGTTAACCAGGAGGAGGAGTTTGCGGTATGCTAAGGGCACTACTGAAATTGCTTCACCCTGTCTTGGCAAAGGGATAATTGCTCTCTGATGTTTGTAAAATCACCTTTCTTCCAAAGGCTATCAATTACTTCTCAAGGGTAGAGAACCCTTTATCAAATTTAATGTAGCTTATTTTATAGTAAGAAGACAACCATCAAGAAGTACGTGATACACAAATAAGGGAAAGGAGAAGTCCTGAGGCCCAGGGCAGTGGTGTTTGTGAGGATACAGAAAACAAAAGAAATTGAACCCTTGAAGGCATAACAAAACTGCATTTGATACACCATGATACAGAAGTCATCTTCCTTATCTCTGCAGCTGGGTTCAGGTATTGGAAGTCTGAGTTTTTCCTTCCTTTACCAGGAGTTAGTTGCATTAATTCGTTGGCTTTGTCTGCTTTGGGTCCACTTTAGATCCTGATTGCATTCTTATTTTTTGCACAAATTTTCTTCAACATTGCTCAGGTCCTGCTCATCTTGTGTCACTTTTAGTAGGCTTTCTGAAAGCACCCCTTACTCCCATCCTTGAGTCTAAGGGAAGGGATTGGTAATACTTGCAAATATGGATTTGAAGAGTGGAAATTTAGTGAAGAATATATTTAACATAGTCAAGAAAACAAAATTCTGAAAAGTGGTGTGAAAAGTTGAAAAGAAATGTTAAAGTCAGCAGTCCTAAATATCTTTCTTTTCTTTTTTTTTTTTTTTGAGTTGGAGTCGCACTCTGTCACCCAAGCTAGTGCCGTGGCACACGCATGGCCGTCCCAGCGTCGACTTACTGGGCTCCGGCGATCCTTCCGCCTCAGCCTTCCAAGTAGCTGGAACTACAGGCACGTGCTACCATGCCCAGCTAATTTATTTATTTATTTATTTTAGAGACGAGATCCCAGGCTGGTCTTGAAGCCACGGTCTCAGGCAATTTACTACTTGGCTCAGCCTCCTCAAGTGCTGGGACTACAGACTGAGCCATCAAGCCGACCCTAAATATTTTTCAAAATAATCCTTTAGGTCTCCTCATTAAAGAAACAGGCTCAGGAAGTTTAGCTTATTCCCAAAATTGGAGACAAATACCACAGTTTTTCTGGATTGGAACTCTTAACCTCAGATTCCTTAGCCTCCTGATTTAGCTTCTAGATCTTACTGCTTTTCCTTGGGGAGATGGCCTCTCAAAGCTGAAGGTCAGGAAAACTCAACAGTGAGAAATAACAGATTGTTAGTTTCACAGTCTTTCAAGGGAAATTCTGGAAGTACCATTACCCGAGGTAACAGAAAACAAAAATGGACAAAACATCCACAAGGTAGGAGGATGAGAATAATCTCATAGTGATCTTTAAGAGGTATATCAGAGGACAGATGAGATACTTTTCATCTGTTTTCCTAAGCTCTTTACCCATACATTTTGTATGTTTGATTGAAAGTGATATCTGAAGGAAATTTGCTTCATGTGTGATGCCTAGAACCCTGTATAATACCTAATAATGCTCTACTTTCTCCCTTAATGTCTAATCTGATTCATATCATTAAACATTAATACTCCTTTTCTTTTTTTCCTGAGTTGGAGTCTCACTCTCTTGCCCAGGCTGGAGTGCAGTAGCATGCTCACTGCCACTACAGCCTCGCCCTGCTAGGCTCAGGTGATCCTTTTGTCTCAACCTTCCAAGTAGCTGGAAGTACAGGCACACACCACCACACCTGGCTAATTTTTTTTTATTAATTGCAGAGACGAGTTTTCACCAAAATTGCCCAGGCTGATCTTGAACACCTGGACTCAAGCAATCCTCTCCCCTCGGCCTCCCAAAGTGCTGGGATACAGGCTTGAGCCACCGTGCCCGGCTAATACTCCTTTTCTGATTATGAATATAATTTGTACTTAATGTAAAGCATTTTAATCTTAGGAAAAAATTGATCAAAAATTAAAATTATCTGTAAGTCCACCTCTTAGAAATAATTCTTTTTTGTTTGTTTGTTTTGAGTTGGGGTTTCACTCGAGTGCAGTGGCATAATCACTGCAGCCTCAACCTCCTGGGCTCAGACGATCCTCCCACCTCAAACACCTGAGTAACTGGGGCTACAGGCATGTACCAAACTCTCAATAGTTTGAATTTTGTGTGGAGATGATGTCTTGCTATGTTGCCTAGGCTAGTATTGAATTCCTGGACTCAAGTGATCCTCCTGCTTTGGCCTCCCAAAGTACTGGAATTACAGGTGTGAACCATTGTGCTGGACCGAGATAATTTTTATTTTAATATTCTATTGTCTTTTATGCCTGTCTTTTCTGTGTACAGATTCTTTTGTATATACTTGTTATCATGCTGTATATACTTTATATCTTGCTTTTTTCTCTTAACAGTGTACTTTCTCCTGTTATTGATACATTTTTTCAAATATATTTTTATTTTTAATTTATTATTTAAAATAGGTAGTACATTCCCTTGTTTCCAAATTTATTTTATTTTTATTTTTATCTATTTTATTTTTTGTTACTTAGTTTTTATTTCTCTGCAATCCAACTAGATGTGGAAGGGAATAAGGAAAATATGGAACCCAAAGAATTGTAGCAGAAGCACAAAGATACTGCGAGCAAACGGGATGGAGAGGGTGCTCTCCTGAGCTACAGAAGGAATGATCTGGTAGTTTAAGATAAAACAAGTCAAATTTATTAGAGTTGTCCACAGTCAGCAATGGTGATCTTCTTGCTGGTCTTTCCATTCTTGGACCCAAAGCCCTCCATGGGTTGCACAACATTCATGCCCTCTTTCACCTTGCCAAAAACCACATGCTTGCCATCCAACCATTCAGTTTTAGTAGTGCAGATGAAAAACTGGGAACCATTTGTGTTGAGTCCAGCATTTGCCATGGACAAGATGCCGGGACCTGTATGCTTCAAGATGAAGTTCTCATCATCAAATTTCTCCCCATAGATGGACTTGCCGCCAGTGCCATTATGGCGTGTAAAGTCACCACCCTGGCACATAAACCCTGGAATAATTCTGTGAAAGCAGGAACCCTTATAACCGAACCCTTTCTCTCCAGTGCTCAGAGCACGAAAGTTTTCTGCTGTCCTTGGAACTTTGTCTGCAAACAGCTTGAAGGAGATGCGGCCCAAAGGCTCGCTGTAGACAGCCAATGCTCGCAGTAGACAGCGATGTCGAAGAACACGGTGGGGTTGACCATGGCTGATAGGAAAAGGCTCAAGGCAGCGGCGTCTGCAAAGTCTTGTTTCCAAATTTAAAAACTATAAAAAGATATTCCATGAAGTCTGACTCACCTTCCCTCCCTGCCCTCTACATGCCATCTGGTAAGCAGTCATTGCCTTTCTACCACAATCAATAAATATTTGAAACTCCTTCCATACCTATTCCATGCCCATAGAAGCAAATGTATAGATAGATAGATAATGTTAAAAATCTACCATAAGTGTGGTCCAAGAAATTTACTTTACAAAAATTTCAAGGTTATGTTTTTTCAAAGTTAGTGAAGGACTGGAGCAAACCTGCCGAGGAAGCTGGCCAGGAGTTCTAGAGGTCTGGAGCCAGTTCACTGCTTTATATCTGAACTGATATTATAGGCTTTTTACTGCATATATGCATTTTCTCCATCTTTCCACATGTGGTAATCTGTTATAAGAATTGATTTGAGCTGTACCTTGAGTTATTTCTCTTTCCCCCTCCACCTCCCACGTATTATTATGTCTCAGATATATTCTCCCTTAAGTTTGTAAAGAGGTTTCTCATTTTTCTTATGACTGTATAATTCCTGAATGAATCATAATTTGTTTTATTCTCTTAAACTTTGGTGTTACACGTGATGCTGCAGTGGATAATCTTGAATATAATCATTTTGCTTGTGTGTGAGTCTATCTGCAAGACAAATTTGTAGAATTGCTAGGTCAAAGGTATGTGTATTTGTCATTTTGAACAATATTGCCAAATTGCCCTTCTTACGGATTGTACCTATTTACATTTCACCAGCAGTAGATGAGAGTGCCTATCTCCCAATATACAGTGAGTTATCAAGAAATTTTGAATCTGACAATCTGAAAGGTAAAAACTGGTGTCTTAGTTTACTTTTATTTTTTGTCTCCTACATTGTGTGGTTGAACATCTTCTCATGTTTAAGAGCCATTTAAATATATGCTTTTCTGTGAGATCTCCATGTCTTTTCCCATTTTTAATGGGTTTTGGATCTTTTTCTTAGTGATTTGTAGGAGGTTAGTATATTAGGCAAAGAGCCTTTTATTTGCCATGTGTTGTTGGCATTTTCATTTGTCTTGTGACTTTTCTTATGGTGGCCTCCCCACCCCTATAAATAAATTATTATTATGCAGTTGAATGTATCAGGTTTTTCTTTTATGGCTTTTTGGCTTTATGACATAGTGAGAATGCTCTTTCATACACTGAGGTCCTCAAATAATTCTCTCATGATTTATCTAGTATTTCTTTGGTTTCATTGTTTACATTTAGCTCTTTGGTCTGTTTGAAATTCAGTCTTGTATAGGTATGCTATATGGATCCAATTTTATTTTTAAAAAGATGGTTTTCCAGTTGTCTTAACACCATTTGTTGTATAATCCACCTTTTCCCTACTGATTTAAGAAGACTTCTCTATTCTCCACTAGATTGCCATTTGTATTTTGGCTTATTTCAAGATTTTATATTCTGTTTTGTTGGGCTATTTATATTAATGTACCAATATCATACTGTTTTATTACTGAGACTTTATAATATGGAAATATAATTTGTTAATGACTAACATAACCTACTTAACCATTATCCTCACTTAACTATTATTTTATTTTAGGCATTAACATTTTTCATAATTTTTATGTTAATTTTTACTGATTTGTTTTTGTGCATAAGACTTTAAAGCAAACTTCCAAATGTCTTCTTATGCTAAGTTCCTAGTAGAGTATGAAATGGTTTTAATTTAATTTAATTTAGTTTATTTATTTATTTTAGCATAAAATGTTTTGTCTTGTTTTGAGTTCAAGTCTCACTCTATGTTGCCCAGGCTGGAGTGCAATGGCACACTCATGGCCACCTCAGTCCCAACCTGCTTGGCACAGGCAATCCTTCCACCTCAACCTTTCAAGTAGCTGAACTACAGGAGTGCACAACCATGCCTGACTAATTGCTTTTTATTTATTGTAGAGATAGGTTTCACCAAGTTGCCCAGGCTGGTCACAAACCCCCAGGCTCAGGCAATTCTCTCGCCTCGGCCTCCCAATGTGCTGAGATTACAGGCTGAGCCACTGCGCCCAGCCTGAAATGTTTTTTTTAAATGCCTGAGACTTACTGCCAAGTTGGTGTAACCTTTCTGGAAAACAGTTCCTGCCACTAGTGTATGAAATATGGCTTATAATTTTAAGTTTTTCTACTATATCGCTTCTTTCAACATACTGAAGAACATTTTTTATTTAAAAGTTTTTTTTTTCTTTCTTAAAAATAGAGTCTTGCTATGTTACCCAGGCTAGTCTTGAACTCCTGGCCTCAAGTGAACTTCCCACCTTGGCCTCCCAAAGTGCTGGGATTACAGACATGATCCACTGTGCCTGGCCTAAAATATTTTTACATAAATTTCATGTAGTACTTTAAACATTACTTAGAACTTATTAAATACCACGAGTCCTAATGCCTTTAAAACTGTTTTTCCAATGGTACTCCTTTGGATTAATGACATGCTTCCAGGTGAATGAGGGAAAGGCAAGAGTATAAACTTGGAGCAGCTGGTCTGCTGAAGGTCAGATCCATTGACTGATCATCTGTCTTTTTTGTAGCTTAACTAGCAATAATTTCACCTTTATATAACTAGTAACATCAGGTTGATGCATAAGTTCATAGTGTTTTTTGTTTCCCTATGAAATGCAAATATTGCACAGTGGTTGACCGCCCACTGTTCATCACATTTGCCAGTTCTTGGGTTGACTGGTGCGCATCATCGTGGGTTAAAGCATTTAAAAGGTCTTCATCAATGCCTGGTGGTCTTGAACGTGGAGAACCACTCAGATCAAAGTGACCCTCTGTGGAACAACAAAACCATTTCTTGACATGCTTTCCCTGATGGCATTCTCTCCATACGCAGCACAGATGCTTCCAGCCACCTCTGCTGCCTTTACTCCTCTGTTCAACTCAAACAGAAGAATATGTTGGAAGTGTTTGTTTTTTTTCCACTTGACACTCTTTCTTTAGCCCACAAATAACACTAACTTTCTTCAAATCTGCAAAATGCAAGGCATAATCACAAGTACAACATTGTCACTCCAAATGACAAACAATAAACTCCCAACACCACAGTACAGCCATGCTAAAAATAAACACCATGACCTTATGCATCTACCTGATATTTTCCTATTTACCTGTGAGAATACTACATAAAATATGTTTTTACAAAGTTGCTTTTTCCGCCTACAGTTTCAAAATACCTTGTTTTTTTTTCTCCCAACAAACTTATGAAACTTGTTAAGTCATTTCTCCATTTTATTGGGGAAAGTAATTGTAAATACGTTAGTTACTCCAGTAGGTGAAGTGAGATTATTGCTATTTGAATTCCAATTCAGTAGTTTTTTTTTTTTTTGTTTTTTTTTTTTGAGTTGAGGTCTCACTCTGTTGCCCAGGCCAAAGTGCAGGGGCATGCTCACGGCCACCGCAGCTTCTGTCTGCTGGGCTCAGATGATCCTTCTGTCTCAGCCTTCCAAGTAGCTGGAACTATAGGCATGCACCACCATACCTGGCTTTTTAATTTATTTATTGTAGAGATGAGGTATCGCCAAGTTGCCCAGACTGGTCTCGAACCCATGGGCTCAGGCAGTCCTCTCACCTTGGCCTCCCAAAGTGCTGGGATTATAGGTGTGAGTGTTTTTGTTTTTGTTTTTTTTAAAAGAATACCCTATCTCTATTATCTAAGTTTATAGTTGCTGTTTTCAACTTAACATATTTGTGTTAAAATGTGTCATCACAGGCTGTTTTTTTTTTTTTTCCTTTTTTTTTTTGAAGAGGACTCTCACTCTGTTGCCCAGGCTGGAGTGCAGTGACATGATCATGACTCACTGCAGTCTCGACCTCAGGCAGTTCTTTCGCCTCAGCCTCCTGAGTAGCTGGGACTACAGGCATGCTCCCACACTTAGCTAATTTTTTATTTTTGTAGAGACCAGGCCTCACTATGTTGTCTAGTCTGGTCTTGAATTTCTAGGTACAAGCAATCTTTCTGCCTCAGCCCTGCAAAGTGCTGGGATTACAGATATGAGCCACTGCACCTGTGCTGGAGTAACATTTTAATGCTTTTATAGGTTATTTAAGAATTTGGCAATATGTCTTATCCTAGTTTCTTTGGTTCTTTCAGAGCCATTTAGATAAGAACAGATACTGAATTCTTCATTTGTGAACTGCAAGGATGAATGTGAAGATGCTAGGTAGAGTGACCTATACATCTTTTGCAGTAATTCTTTTTTTAATTATAGTAAAATACATAGCAAAATTTTATTTTAACCTTTCATAAGTGTACAGTTTAATAGCATCAAGTACATTCACAGCGCTGTATAACCATCATCATTATCCATATCCAAAACTTTTTTTTTTTTTTTTTTGAGTTGGAGTCTCACTCTGTTGTCCAGGCTGGAGTGCAGTGGCACACTCGCGACCACCCCAGCGTCCACCTGCTTGGGCTCCAGCAACCCTTCCGCCTCAGCCTTCCAAGTAGCCGGAGCTACAGGTGTGTGCTACCACACCAGGCTACATATTCAAAACTTTTACATCATCTCCAGCTAAAGCTCTGTACCCACTAAATAGTGACTCTCCCTTTCCCCTCCGCCAGCTGCCAGTAACCTTATCCTACTTTCTGTCCTTATGAATTTTCCTATCTAGGTTCCTCATATAAGTTAAATCATACAATATTTGTCCTTCTGTGTCTGGCTTATTCACTAAGCATAATGTCTTCAAGGTATATTCTTGTAGTATGTATCAAAATTTCAATTTCTTAATGACCAAGTATATTCCATTGTATATATAAAATGCACTTTATTTACCCATTTATCTGTTGATGGACATTTGGGTTGTTTCCACTTTTTGGTTGTTATGATGAAAGCTTTGGTATACCCATATCTGTTTGAGTCTCTGTTTTCCATTCTAATAGGTATATGCACCTATAAGAGGAAATACTGGGTATATGGTAGTTCTATATTTAATCTTTTGAGAAGCCAACAAAATGTTTTCCAAAGCACCTGTATCATTTTGCCTTCTTACCAGCAATGCACAAAGGTTCTAATTATTCTACATCCTTGCCAAAACTTATTTTTCAACTTTTGATTATAGCCATCCTAGGAAGTTTGAATTTATATCTCACTGTGGCTTTTATTTACATTTCCCTAATTGTTAATAATGTCGAATATCTTTTCATTACCTATTGGACATTCATATATTTTTGGAGAAATGTCTATTCAAGTCCTTCTTTTACATTAACTCTTTTTTTTTTTTTTTTTTGAGTTGGAGTCTCACTCTGTCACCCAGACTGGATGGAGTGCAGTGGCCGCTCCCGGCCACCGCAACCTCTACCTGCTGGGCTCTGGCAATCCTTCTGCCTCAGCCTTCC